CCTACGAAATGGACATTTGCATCCCAGTGCTTTTCATTTGCCTTGGGTATATCTACCTAGGGGTGAACTTGCTGGGGTTTATAACAGCTCTTTATTTATTTATTTATTTATTTATTTATTTTTGTACTAGGAATTGAATTCAGGACCTTGTGCTTGCCGGGCGAGCGCTGTGTGGCTGAACTATGTAACCCAGGCCCCTTCATTTAGTATTTTGAAGAACTGGTAGACTTTCCCCAGAGGGCTGCGCAGTCGTACCCCACCAGGAGTGTCTGAGGGCTTGGTCTCTCTGCGTCTTTGCCAATGCACATCAGTCCCTCAGATTGTACCCTCCCTAGTGGGGAACCAGCACAGTCTCAGGGCAGAAGTCACGGTCACATCTCCCTGGTGTCCTGTGACCAGCTCATCTTTCTTTGTGTGTGTGTGTGTGTGTGTGTGTGGCCAGCTCAGCCCACCAGGGGGCAGGGCTGGCTGGCATGTGGTGCTGGGGGATTGAACCTTGGTCCCTGTGCTTTGCTAAGCTTGTTCTAAGTAGGTGCTTTAGACCACTGAGCCATCTCACCAGCCCCTCATCTTTCTTATTAATTAAAAAAATTATTTATTTATTTGGTATAGGGTCTCACTATGCAGCTCAAACTCAGTGATCCTCCTGCTTCAGCTTTCCCAGCACTGGGATTCCTGCTGTGCGTCACCACACCCAGTTTCGGTGGCTGGCGCCATGTGCCCAGGCTTCCAGGGCTGGCATGGCATGCAGTACCAGGGATCAAACCGGGTTACTTGTGCTTGCCAGGCAGGCACTTAGACCGCTGTGCTGTCTCCCCAACCAGGCTAGTTCATCTTTGAATACACACTTATTCTGACTTTGGTTCTTGTATGGTTTGGAACAGATTGGACAGCTGTTCTTTGTTGTGTGTGTGTGTGTGTGTGTGTGCACGCGCGTACATGTGTTGCATATGCACGTTCATGTGCGTGTGTTTGTGTGTGTCCATGTGTGTGTAATGAAATACAGACTGTGAAGTTCAAGCCTGAGAAATCCAGAGATGGAGTTTCTGGTGCTGAGGGAATGAAGGACTCCCATTTAAATGTGAATTTCATATAAAAACATAAGTTCCTTTTGTATGTGTGTGTGCACAGCACTGGTAACTGAACCCAGAGCTTTTCCAGTGAGCAATACCCCAGCCATTTTTGTGTTATTTATTTATATTTGGAATAAGGTCTCACTTACTCCCTAGTTCAAGCTGGCACTGAACACACTGTGTAGCCCAGCCTCAGAGTCTTGGCGGTCCTCCTGGCTCAGCCTCCTGAGTGCTGGGTGATAATCATTCACCACGATGCCAGCAGTTTTTGAGACAGTCTCACTAAGCTGCTAAATTGCCCAGGCTGGGCTTGAGACTGGGATCCTGCCTCAGCCTGTTTGCAAGCCCTGGATTATAGGCAAGCAGCACCACCACGCCTGGCTGTACAGAGCGGCTTTTAGGGTTTAGTATATCCCAGACATTGCATTGCATGGGATATACTTACCTTAAAAGATTCTTCTTCTTCTTCTTCTTTTTTTTTTGTACATCTGAGATTCAAATGCAATTGCTAAATCTGGCCATCCTGCCTGTCCGTGCTGGGGGGTGTCTGGCTGACTGCACGCAGAACTGGGCTTTCTTTTTTGTGGGTGGGGCTGGGGCCTGTTGGGGGTGTTGGCAGTGCGGCGTGGACCCCGGGGTTGTGGCTGTGGCTGTACGTGGTGTCTGTGGCCCCACCTGGTGTCTTGGCCCTTGGCCTATGCCTTCTGTCCTGGGGGCGCTTCTACTGGGCACTGCTGGGTTCAGACCTGGGACAGCAGATATCAGGATGGTGACCTTTTCCGAGGCGCTGGATACAGGGCCTCCTGTCCTCCTTCCTAGGGTGCGAGTGTGGGACTTAATGCATTCTGCACCTGCTGTGAGCCGGGAACACAGGGACTTTCTCCCCGAGTGATTGTTTGCCTTTGCAGTTTCGTTCTAATTTGTGCTTCTCTTGTGGGTGGTTCTCAGGGTGGATTTTTAAGATCTTTTTTCGAGCCATCTGTTTGCCTCAGAGCTATCGGATGAAGGTTTAGAATCTTGGAATGAGACAAGTAGGGGTTGTGTACTAGGCTTTATGAAGGGTATGGGGAGGAGACTTTGTTTAAAAAGTTGGATTTTTCATTTTCTTTTTTTTTTTTTTTTTTTTTTTTTTTTGAGACAGGGCTTCACTCTGCAGTTCAGGCTGACCTTGAACTCAGCGATCCTCCTGCCTCAGACTCCCAAGTGGTGGGGTGACAGACATGTGCCACCAGGCCTGGCTATTTTGACAAATGTTAACTCACATTCAAGGGTCACAGGGAGGGCTAGGGATATAGCTCAGTGGTATAAGTATCTGTCTGGCAAGCACAAGGTCCTAGTTTGGTTCCCAGTACCCCCCATCTTTAAAAAAAAAAAAAGCCCAAGGAGATAAGAAAGACCCAAACTGACATTCTGAGAAGAAAGGCAATCAGGGAGGGCTGTTTCCAGGAGGAGGCGTTTGAACTGCCTCTTATTTTTTTTTATGTGTTTGGTACAGGGTCTCACTACGCAGTCTGAATTCGTAGTGATCCTCCCGTTTTCAGCATCCCCATTCCTGAGATTACTGGCTTGTGCAACTGTGCCCAGGACTCTGCAGCTGGCTCAGTGTGCACCAGGGGCGGGGCTGGTGCAGCATGTGGTGCTGGGGATTGAACTCCAGTTCCTCTGCTTGCCTAAGCAGGCACTTAGTCCACTGAGCTATCTTGCCAGCCCTTGCACTGGCTTTTGAAGCATGACAGGACAGCGTTTAGAAACAGGACTAGGGGGTGAAGGGCATGGCCTGGCAAGAGGCCTGACCAGCTCGGAGGGGACTGTACGCCCAGGGAAGTCAGCAACAGCACAGCTGGCACGAACGCAGCCTCACTGAAGTCAGGTGCTGCCCCAGCGCTTGCCCTGTTATCCTCTTGTCACAGGGTGGGCATGTGACAGAGGGGATACGGAGTCTTGAAGTTGGGCCACAGTGCTTGGCTGGGCTGTTCAGAGTGGCTCAGGGGATGGGGCTGGTGTCTTGGGGGCTGCAGCAGCCGTGCAGCTGGGGTCACAGGGAGCCCCAGAAGGGGGCAGGGTCTGGGAGGCACCACCTCTGGGTGGGGGAGCAGGTCGGGGTTTGCGCAGCGGGTGTGGAGATCGGACAACCTGGGAAAGCACTGGCCACACCCCGGTGAAAGGTAACCAGGCTTGGTCCTAGGCCAGGTGGGCAGGCCAGGAAGAAGAGACAGCCAGAACAGCAGAAGGGTGCTCGGCCATCCTGCCCAGTGGGGATGAGGCACCTCTCCCTGCCCATCACTTCCTGAAGGCCTTCCTCGTGGGTGCTCAGGAGCCGGCAGCGCCCTTTCTCCCTCTACACCTGTTGTGTTGCTCAACGCCCCTTAATCTTATTGTCCTGGTTGCGTCAGAGCAGCGCGATGATTTTGCGGCTTTCACGGAGCCCTGCCAAAGGAGTTATTTTCTTTGCCTTTCGAAAATAGTAATGTGGGCAAGGGTGCCTTACAGGGAAAGCCACTCACCCGGGCCACCCCAGGATTTGAAACTCAGCGCCCAGGACCTACCCCCATGAGGCCAGCACCATCCCTCTTCCTTTTTGTTTCTCATCTTATTTTTAAGTAATTTCAGCAGGCACTGGCCGGTGCACATATGAACAGTGTGCTAATTTTGTCCGTGTCTGCACTGTGTACGGAGCAGTTCCTCTCTGGTGTCTCTTATGTCCTCGTGGCAAGAACGTTAGAAATATCTCCTGTAGCTATTCTGGAATGTTGGAGGTCTGATGAAAAAATCAGTGAATACTTAAATTAAAAATGTTCTAATAAAACACACCTTACCATGAATCCTTCTCAGAATCCTCCCCCTTGCTCCGAGCACACCTGCCCCGCTGTTCCTGCTGCTCTCTGGAGCAGTTCTGGAGGTGCTCCCTCGTGAGTGTCTGGGCTGTGGTGGCTTCCGCGACGTTCTGAGCTGGTCCAAGACATTTCTCTGTTCGGTTCATTTTGACCTTGGCGAAGGCCCAGAAATCGCACAGTGCCAGATACAGTGAACAAAGTGGATGAGGCCACACTGAGATATTTTTAGGAGCCTGCCCTTCTCTTGAGAGGCACTGGGGAGCAGTTGTATTTTTCACCACCTCTTTTAAAGACGCTCCCCAGAGAGGACTCCCGGAACTGCTCCCAAACACTGCAAGGACAATGCATGTGTTCAAAGCGAGGGGGAAGATTTTGTGGGGAGTGAATGGCAGTGTGTCTGTTATTGTCCTAAGTTTTTGAAAATGTAAGCATTCACTGAGTAATTTGATCATTTCTTGCATGATGCGTTGTCATTCACTGACCACGCTGTCCCATGTAGCAGGACAACAGCACTGGTTCCTTCTGTCCTCTGGTTACTTTGTGCCACTGGCCAGCCTCTCTCCTCTTTCATATTGCCCCCCTCCCCAGCCTCTGACAGCCACCACTGTGCTTTTAATTTCTATGAAAATGACCCTTTTGGATTCTGCATCTGTCTTTCCGTGCTCTGGCATAGCATTCACGGGCGTCAGCCATGTTGCTGTGAATGTCGGGATTCCTCGCAGGGCTGAGTTCTCTTCCCTCAGGCTGCCTGTCTGTGTGTCACATTTCTTCTGTCCATTCCTCTATGGGTTGACCTTTAGTCTGATGGCTGTTATCACAAAGGCAGTAAATAACAAAGGAAGGTGAGCAAAGGAGGAACAGTGGAGAAATAGACACCAGTCAGGGGCCCGGGAATTGGGATAGGCATTTGTGGGAAACACTTCACACCTTCCTCAAGCACCACCAATAGAACTACTGTAGATATAGCCGCTCTGGACCTGGGCTTGTGTCCAAGGGATGGGAGGTCGGTAGAGCGGAGTAGGGGGCAGCCCTTGGGCTCTTGCCTGCCAGCACCTGTGCTCACCTGTCTCGCTTTCCTCTCATCCACTTCCAGTGTGTCCTGGCATGGACATCCGCAACAACCTCACCAGGATGCACGAACTAGAGAACTGCTCTGTCATCGAAGGACATTTGCAGATCCTCCTGATGTTCAAGACGAGGCCGGAAGACTTCCGCGACCTCAGTTTCCCCAAACTTGTCATGATCACCGATTACTTGCTGCTCTTCCGGGTCTACGGGCTTGAGAGCCTGAAGGACCTGTTCCCTAACCTTACGGTCATCCGTGGCTCCCGCCTCTTCTTCAACTACGCGTTGGTCATCTTCGAGATGGTCCACCTCAAGGAGCTGGGGCTGCACAGCCTCATGAACATCACCCGGGGCTCCGTGCGCATCGAGAAGAACAACGAACTGTGCTACTTGGCCACCATCGACTGGTCCCGGATCCTCGACTCCGTGGAGGATAACTACATCGTGCGGAACAAAGATGACAACGAGGAGTGTGGGGACATCTGTCCGGGCACGGCGAAGGGCAAGACCAGTTGTCCTGCGACAGTCATCAACGGCCAATTCATAGAGCGGTGCTGGACCCACAGTCACTGTCAGAAAGGTATGCCGGGGCCCAGGTGCTCCGTGGCTCTCTAGATCGCGGCCGTGGGGTAGGGGCTGGGCTGTTGCTGAGGCAGAGATGGCACACGCTCCGCAGAGCCTCCGTGCCGACCGCTTTAGGCTGCAGAGCAGTAGACCGTATCCAGGAGGCAGTAGTCCCCGGCTCTCTTGGCACCGGGTTCAGTTCCACGCAGGACAGTTTCTTCGCAAATATGTGGAGAGATGGTTACAGCATGATTCTGTGGAGCTTGCATCCCAGGTCCCTTGAACGTGCAGGTGACAGGGTTCATGCTCCTGCAGGGGACAATGGGAAGGACCTGGAAATACAGATAAAATTTCCTTGGTCTCCCAAAGCTCCCCTTTCTGCTGTGTGAGTGGGGCCCCAACAGACCCGGGACTGGGGGCCCCGGGGGCCCCTACTGTGGGGGATCTGCTTTAAAATCCCTGAAGTCACCAGCAGTACTGAGCCCCAATAGGGTTCTTGCATACACAGCCATACTTACACGGAATTTTAATGTATAAAGCAGGTACAGGAAGAGATGGGCCCCGGTGACCAACAATGCACTAGAACTCTTAGAATAACCTGTGGTAACAAAGTGTCCCATACCATCAGGCACTGTGACACTGTGGCTGTCAATCTGATAACCTCGTGGCTACTAAGCTGCTAAGTCACAGAGCAGGGTAGCTTGACACTGCATCCTACAGCAGTGCCCTGTGAAGACTTGGTTATTTCTGGGGTTTTCCCTTCAGTATTTTCAGACCACAGTGGGCTGTGGGTCTCTGAAGTCAGACTGTCTCCTGGAGTGAATTCTGCCCCTGCCGTGGGAAGGCAGCCAATGCAGGTGTGAACACATGGCTGGGGGCTGTGTCCTAATAAAACTTTATTTACACGGACAAATCGGGGTCAGATTTTGCCCCAGAGCCCATCCACTGCCATCTCCTATGCCAGACAACGAAGTCCCCTATGTTCCCCTTGCTTCAGAGAAGGAAAAGCAGGGTACGGTGTGCATTTAGTTGTCATTGAAAAACAAGCTTATTTTTAAGTGAATATAAAATAATCAAAATAGACCTGCTAGACATTTGGCCAAGGAACTTCATAGAAAGCAAAACATCTGTCCTAAGCCACAGGGAACCTTGGGGACGAGGCTTATTAGAGACACTTCCTCCTGCGGAGCACCCAGCAGGGCTGTCAGGAGTTAAAGTCTTTCACCTTCTCTGAGTCGCACTGGGATCCTTTCCAGTTCGCACCAAGGCACCCTGGGGTTCAGGCTTTATCTAGCATGTATTTCTTTGGGCCCGTTTTCCAGAAATGAATTTCTGGGTGAGAGGCTCCGGCTCAGGATTGCCACATGGCTCTCTGGAAATGCTGCCCCCAGAGCCGGAGCCGCTCCTGGTCGTGCTGGGCCAGAGGGCGACGCCCTGGCCCGCCTCCAGAGTGTCATTTGCAAAAATCTTTCCTCATTTCCTCGGTTCTGGAAGGAGCCTGGCGTTGAAATGGTTTCTAGTTGCCCGTCTTTGACTGCCATAAACACATTTGTTTATCATTTGCGTTTTCTTCTCTATCCTTGGCATGTCGATCTCAAGCACCTGAAGCACCGCGGTGGTTTTTAAAGCTTCGATGAGATCAGCATGTGCGTTTGCAGCGGGTGGTGTTCACAGCCCCGTGTGGAGTCTGCAGCGGGTCTCGGGGCTCCTTGGGCTCGGTGTTCGCCGGCGACCTTTCCCAGCTGCTGACCGGCCCCTCCCCCACCTCCTGACTCCCTGCCCCTGTGAGAACTGGCTCCCGGCTTCCTCTTACCCGTCCTGTGTTGTGCTCTTTGTAGTTCGTGGTTTTGCGGAGTCTCATCAGCACGTAGCTTTCTTCCGTGGTGCCTGTCTGCTCACCCTTGACCACGATTGTCGCCGCGCTGCGCTCGGTGGCGCAAAGGCTCTGGGTGTTCAGGCCTGGCTTTCGCCTCTGCTTTCTGTGCTTGGTGTCTACAGAGCCTCTCTGTCCCCATAAGATCGTTTTTCCTGCTGAGTTTTAATTGTGATCGTTAAAAAAGTCTCTAGGGGCCGGGGAGATGGCTCAGTAGAATAAAAGGGCCTGAGTTCAATCCCCGGTTCCGCAAAAAAAAAAAAAAAGTAAAAAAAAAAAGCTCTCACCCTCAATAGTTGGGATCTATTCGCATGTATGAGATATTCAGCTGATGAGTTGGGGGTTCCGTGATATCCATGGCAGAAGTCATCCTGACTTGCTTGCTTTGGGGTCCGTTGTTGTCTGTCTTCGAGCCCTGGATGTTACTGTTCGGAACATTGGTAACTTTTTCATGTCCAGGCAGGTGGTTCCACTCACACATTCAGCCCTTTCTGTCTGTCTGTCTCTCTCCGTATTTGGTACAGAGTCTCAATACAGGGTCTCTTGGACTCCAGGTGGTTCTCCTGTCTCAGCCTCCCTAGTGCTGGGCTTCCAGGCATGTGCCACCACACTCGGCCTCGGTGGCAGCCGGCCCAGGGGCGGGGCTGGTGCGGCATGTGGTGCCTGGGATCCGATTCTGTTCTGAGCTATCTCGCCCTGCTTGTTTATTGCTTTATTATTTTTTTTTAACATTTATTTAGTGTGTGTGTGTGTGGCCAGCTCAGCCCACCAGGGGGCGCGGCTGGCTGGCATGTGGTGCTGGGGGATCGAACTGTGGTCCCTGTGCTTTGCTTAGCTTAGTTTGTTCCAAGTAGGTGCTTTAGACCACTGAGCCATCTCTCCAGCCCCTTGTTTATTGCTTTAATGGCCCCTTCTGCATGTTGTAAAATTCCCTGGGAAGAACTAGTGAGAAGGGGTAGGAGAAAGTGACTGGGTGGCTTGAGGGTTGTATCATAAAAGATAGGGTAGGGGAGAAAGGGGGGCCTTTTCACCCCAGGGCAGATCAGTGGGGGAGATACAGGAAAGGGAGGTGGTGGTGGTGTGGTGAACAGCTCAGTGTTTTGTAGAGCTGGAAGGCAGTGGTGGTCTAGAGGTGGTGGGGGCAGCAATGGCCTGTGGAGAGGGGAGGTGATATTGTAGGTGGGCCTTGCTCTGTAATTCGGGTGTTTAGTTATCTTCCTGTTAGTGGCCAGAGAGGTTACTTAACTTGCCCCAGGCCACGTAGCTAATAGAAACAGGGCTGGGATTCTTGCCAAATTTACGAAAGACACAAATACACACAAAAAGCCTTTTTTTTTTTTTTTTTTTTTTTGTGGTGGTAGTGGGGTTGTCCACTTTGTTTTAGAAATGCCAGAGCTGCATGCAGCAGGGGCACTAGGATTAAGAAAGAACAGCCTTCCTCTGGCATGGTGCTGTGTGTAGAACAGTCCCAGCTCATGGGAGGCTAAGGCAGGAGGATCACCTAAGCCCAGGGGCTCTAGGTCAGGCTGGGCAACATAGTGAGACCCTGTCTCATAAAAACAAAAAACAAAACAACACAAATTAAGCTGTTCCTACATAGTTTTCTTTCTGTATCTGTTTCAGTCAAATGCCCAGCCTGGAGCTGTCTGTGACTTAGTGTCTTGGTCTCTGATGTGCTAGGGAGATATTTTTGGGAACTTGTTCCAATCTATCTTTCTTTCTTCTCTCTCTCTGTCTCTCTCTCTGTCTCTCTCTCTGTCTCTCTCTCTGTCTCTGTCTCTCTCTCTCTCTCTCTCTCTCTCTCTCTCTCTCTCTCTTTCTTCTTTGATAGAGGGTCTCACTATTCAGCTTGGACTCATAGTGATCCTCCTGTCTCAGTCTCCCCAGTGCTGGAATTACAGGTGTGCACCACCGTGCTCCGTTTCAGTGGCCAGCACGACATGCAGTATCTGTGTGCGTTCAGCTGAGTTCTGTACTATTCTGCCTTTTTTTCCCCTCCTTTTGAGACAGGGTATGGCTACATAGCCCAGGCTGGGTTTAAATTTTTTTTTTTTTAAATGTATTTGGTACAGGGTCTACAGAGTCTCACTATGCAGCTCAGACTCATAGTGATCCTCCTGTTTGCAGCCTCCCAAGTGCTGGGATTACAGGTGTGTACCACCACGCCCAGTCTCAGTCCGCCCACTGGGGGTCGAACCCTGACTGCTGTGCTCTGCCCAAGCAGGTGCTTTAGTCCGCTCTGCCTCGTTAGGGCGATCAGGAACGGAAGGGACAGGTCCTGAGCCTTGGGGCAGCCAAGATGATGGCTTGTGTAGATGCCCCAAGTGGGACCAGACAGTCACGTGGGGCGGGCGTGGTCCCAAGAGGCAGGACACAGTCGTGGCCCTTTCCTGGCCTCCTAAGTCACAGGATAGTGCCGAGGCTGGAGCCTCCTCATGGCCCCAAAGCTCAGCCTTGTTAGAACCCAGTCAGGAAACACCAGCTTTTGGTTCTGTCCCATTGTTTAGGGCCTACAAAATGGATCAAGCCTCAGTTTGCCTGTCTGGAAAATGGGCATCCTCATGACTGATTCGTGGGAGCTTAAGTGAAATTTTGCAGATGGTGCAGTTAGCGCCTGGCACAGTACGCGCTATCTCTGGGTTCCCCCTTGCTGGATGACCCAGCTGCTGAGTGAATACTGTGCTGTTTCTAGCTTTAGTCTTGGGGCACATGAGGACTATCCCGTATGCCCAGCCACAGCCCCAAGGGAAGGCCACCCTGAGCCTCGGGGGATGAGCCTGGAGTTGGCTGGAATCCACAGCTCTGGGCACCTTGGGGAACCCCAAGCCAAGGGCCTGCCCGAGCGCTGCCCTGGCCACACCCACCAATGTTCGCTCTCCGACAGGTCTCACCAGCTGCTCCCTGCTGGTCAAAGACCTGGCCTGGGGGTGTGGTGGGGGAGCGGGCAGGGGAACTGGTCAGCGACGCCACAGACAGATGTGGGCAGGAGTGGGCAGAGAGCTGGAAGAGGGGTGCCCCTCCTTCCCGATTTGAGTTCACGTCTGGCTGCGAGGGTCTCCGAAAGCCGAGTTGCTCTGCTTGTGCTGGACGTCAGGTATTTGGGTGTGTGGAGTTGGAGGGTTAGATTTTAGGCAGCATGTTCA